CCCTTTCTTGTGATTCAGATATATTTTTATCTTTTCTGGAGGACCCTTTCTTGTGATTCAGATATATTTTTATTTTTTCTGGAGGACCTTTTCTTGCGATTCAGATATATTTTTATCTTTTCTGGAGGATCCTTTCTTATGGAGTCCTTAATGGCAACCGATCACTAATAATATGACGTCATCCTCTAATGATGTCATTACCCTCCTAGAAGCGTTCGCATCGCACTTGACTCCTTTACCACTAGAAAATGTGTTTTAATTAGGGTTAGGCCAACTTGATAATGGAAAACGATTCTATATAGGAAAGACATCTTCCCTCCTATTTTTGTTGGCGTCAAAAAGTAGATGCGATTTCAGAAGGGATAAGATCATTTACATTCCTTTCTGAATGATACAAATTTTACTTTTAAATCAATATGGCTCCATCTGTCTCAAAGACTTTGGATGCTCCCAGGTGTATAACTGGATTTTTTTTCTTTAAATCGGAGAAGAATCTATTGTGACTAAAAAAAACAATAAGTCTATTCAGGGATAGGCAAACTTTTGCCACTGTTCAAAAATGGGAATGCATCTGTTTTTGAGCTATTGTATAGGTCAGAGGTTCTCAAACTTGTTTTGACCCTGGGACCCCTTTCATCTCATTTTATCTCTGGCTGTGGTCCCTTCTGGGGCATAGGCCACAAGCAGCTGGGGATCCCTTTACATAGTCTAAAAAAAGGTGCATATCTAATAAAATACAGACGCTACTTCAAAAAAGAAGATGATTACGTCCTACGCGTCATGCATCTATTCAATGACTTAAATTCTGCCAAGTCACTGGTTTTCCTGGCTGACTCAGGCAACCCAGTTCTGATAAGATGTTTTGGTTAAGTCTTCGGCCTCTAACCTCTGGCAACAGAGCGTAGGCAGGAAAGAAAGCTTGGCCAAACCCATTTTTGTCACGAACACGCTATTCTGCCTCAAAATGGCGCTCGTGTGGAAACGACCATTAGAGGTAGTGGTTAGGCTAAATGAATAGCAAAATAAAACTCCCTTGAGGGTGACCACGGATAGGCGAGAGTTTACCCATTGCACGGAGCGGAGTTGAAAGAGAGCCCTCACGGCCCTGTCGATAATCCATGTGCCGTTCCTCAAGGGGCCGTTACACTAATGGCGAGCCCTCCACGGTTAGCTTGATACACCATAGAAAATGGCGGAGGTCCCCGGTGCACTCGGCCTTCGGCCATGTCTAGCCCATGAGCCCGGGGTGCCAGATGCATCGGAAATAGCAATGCTTTACATAGGCATTGACTTACGTCTCTTCCAGGCAGAACGGTGGTTCACGCAGGTTTTTTTTTTTTTTTTTTTTTTTTGGAATTTTTGACGCTCAAACAGTTTTTTTTTTTCAAACTTAGAGCTCGAAGAGCCTTCGACTCAGCTCTTAGACGATCTAACGGTTAAGCAGTAAAGAATGAAACCTCTGAACATAATTTCAACATGTAGTATTAGAGTCTGTCTCGAGCATCCACACCCATTATCTTTGGTCAGTTGGCCTGCTGTGGCTTGGCGCCTTATCCCCCCCCCCCTCTTTTTTGTTTTGGTCTCGCTCCACTTGTCATTAGTTGCATCGAATTCTTGTTTACCTGACGGACAATAAAATCAAAAGGGCTATAACCCTCTACTACAGTTCCCATCTTGTTTTCTTCCCTAGTTCTCCCCCCTGTTTTTAATATGTATTTATGCCCCTTTACACAGCAAATATTATTAACTTATGCAAAATACTGTTAATATACATGTTAATGAGTCTGAGGGTGACGCTCCTGACAAGACTGCGTCCCTCACCAACCAGCCTGTATAGTTTATTAATTCTGGCTCCCGTCACGTCTCATCCTCTAGCCTCCTACGTCTGAGCTGACGTGTTTGTTGCCTTAAAGAGGACTTTAATAGCTCTCCACACATTCCCGTCGAGGGTGGGTCACACACATTACCTTCGATCGAGCTGAAGGCATTCTAGACAAGAGTCCCTATACCAGTCTGTATGAACACAAAAAGTAAGCTAATGGCATGGCATCCCACCACACTACTACCTGCTGGCCTGCAGAACATCAAGTGATTGACCACCAGCCTAGGAAAGCCCCAACACACTTCATCCTTGAGAACAAGCTTCGAACCAAGAGATAAACGGGAGACAGCTGAGATAAGCGAACAATACATTTGAGCAATATGCCAGAGATGAAATTGTCTTGTAATTCGTCCTAGATCTATATGTGCATCTTCCCCCAAATATTGTTTTTATATCTTCAATTAAATACCTTTTTTTAAATACCAAGTCACTAAGTTTCCGTTCTTGCTTAAGCCTGTCACGTGCCTGTACGATAGATATATAATATTTTATCGCGTTGTGGTCTTAAGACTTTTCCCCCAGAAGTCACAAGGCCATTCATCTCCGTTTGAGTAAACAAACTGACCGATCTGGGGATATATTTCACCACATTATGCGACATTTGGCTACTGACATTATTCTTGAAGGTGACATATGTTGCACTTGAAACTTGTTGTCTCTGATATTTGTTTATCTGGCATTTATTGTATCTGACATTTGTGTACCTGATATTTGTTGTACCTGACATCTGTTGTACCTGACATATTTTATACATAATATTTGTTGTACATGACATCTGTTGCATCTGACATTTGTTGTACCTGACATTTGTTGTACCTGACATTTGTTGTATTTGACATATTTTATTAACTTTTATACATGACATTTGTTGTACCTGACATTTGTGGAAAATAAAAAGTCAATGTTGTTTTTTTTACATTCAGCTTATGTTATAATTAGTTGGTTTCATCTTGCTAAAGTTAATCTGATTGTCAGACAAGAGATATCAGAGTCTCAGACTATACATGAAAGCAAGAGATACAATATCAAAGTCTCAGACTTTAAAGGTAGTGTTTCTTAAACATTCAGCAGTGACGCAAGAGGATTTCAAAAGGTCTAGATCATGGGCGTAGCTAGGAATTTGGGGCCCGGGGGAAAAAAATAACAAAAGTAACAATGCTTTTATAAAGTATAGTTGTATCAATTAGTTTGGATCAGTCATATCATTAAATTTGTAATAGATCTAGACGCACAATAATGAATTTTTGCGATTAGAAATATTTTTACCAATTGTTTTGTTTAACGCAATTTCATTATTTTAGCGTTCTCAATGCGCCATGATCCGTATTTAACTTCTGAAAATACCCCGAGATCTTCACCACCGGGTTATGGATACCTCTCTTGCCTCCCACTGTGTCTCAATGTGACACCATAAAATAACAGCAACTGAAATGCTTTCATCTTGAAATAGCTACCATCAAAGGACACACGTGAGGTTTCCAGGCAGATATTGTAAGGTTTGCTGGTGACTCCGAAGTCGTTAATGTGTCCGGCAGTGAAACGTGATCTCAGGGTAGAAATGTGTTAATGAGGACTTTATATCATACAAGCATGAACTATTTAAAACACTTAAACTACCAAATATAGATATATTACAAAATTAGCGTTAAAAAAAGAATAAATAAGGGGATAAAATGTTTTTAGTTTTTTGTTCGTATGGGATAGAAAAAAAACAAAGAAAAATATAAAAATTACTATTTTAAAACAAACAAACAAAGCTTATATTAAGTGTAGTTGTATCAATTAGTTTGGATGAGTCATGTAATTAAATTTGTATTAGATCTAGACCAACAACAACAATCTGTGCTATATTAGAAATATTTTAACCATTGTTTTTATTTAGCGTAATGTCACGCTTTTTTCCCCCCAAAACACTAAGATTCTATCAATTATCTGGACTAGTTGGGAAAGGGGTGTGTGAATGTTACCATGATAGCTTTTAAATGCATCTATAAAAAAAGTTGAACGATCTGAATTCGAAGCCTATATAGTAACCACAGTGGTGCTTATTTAAATAGAAGCTTTTATAGTTTTCCATTATTAGTTTCAGACTTTTCTCTCTAGAAAGTATAAAGGGGTCTAATTCAGCATATACCACTACATCAGTCATGTATAATTTCACTCCCTTGTTATAAAAAAAAAAGATGGCCAACACAGTAACCAGTCTGCTAGTGAAGAGCTTATAGTTCACTGTCACAGTCTCAGTTGACATTGCATAATCTAATATTCACGTCATGTTAAGAGTTTAAAAGACACTTGGAATTCCTGATGTAGAAAACAGGAAGTAGAATGAATAAAGTTGACTTTGAGTTCAGTCAAGTCAAGTTAGTGAAGAAAAGTGGTATCCTTTAGACCGGGTAGTCTAGTATATTTTAGTCTGCAACGGACAGTAGCGACTTAGAAAAGTCTGTAGTAATTTCAGTTAGAAAGTAACTTGTGGGCAGTTGTTGCCAATGGTTTTTTTGAGACATGTATTAGTTAATCTATATTTCTGCACAGTGTTACCCTCTGAGATGCAGACGTGATTTGTAATCTAGAAACTTTAACGTATTGGATATATACTAGATTCCGCTGTTATGCAGATAGGATTGTTTATTATTTCTTGACTTGTAGCACTAACAAGGCGTGCAATATTATTATGTTAAATAAACTTTATATTTGTCTGCTGAAACGGACTAAAGTCAGTTTGTAGTGTATATAATTGTCACGTGTTAAGAGTACTCCAGGAAGCAAGAACCCAGCATTCCACGACATTCGCATTCTTCAGCATCGCGCCATTTAACGTCATTTACATTCACTAATTCAGCTTACTTCAGTCAAGTACATCTTTCCCTTGTTCGAGTACCAAACTAATAGTTTATTAATTAACTGGGTACTTTAAAAAAAAAAAAAAGATTCTTATTTTGTCAGATACAAGAGATCGTTGTTCAAACGTTCAGCTTGATCCAAGTTTTTAGTCGTAGAGTGAAAGTGTACAACTTTTTCTATTGTCTGCTACAAACGGAAGTGCTTAGAAAATTGATCCTGCAGTGCCAAAAAACAAAAACAAAACAAAACAAAAAAACAAAGAGCACATAACCTTTTGGGGGGTATAGCTTGTCTTTATTTTGTACACCGGATACACTAAAAAAAAAGAGATATTTATAGTTTTTTTTAACCATGTATGAAAATATATTACTTCAAAGTATTTCTTAGGTTTAATACATGCATTGTTCATGTCCACATCAAAATGAAATTTACTTACGGTAAATCACAACTTTGGAATTACTCAATTAAATCAACTGGTAGGATATCACATATAGGTCCAGCTTTGAAGAACACTCTAGAATGGCCGTTTCGTGCAAAGGGAGGTTATGAACAGAACACGTAGATCTTAAGGGTACACATACTTATTAAATACATCAACAATTATCTCCCTTACATCGCGGAAATTCGCTATAAACAAACGAATATCACAGTACATACTATCCTATATCTCTTGTAGGACGGAAGGGGGTTAACTGTGGGCAGGTCCCGAATTATTGTAACGACAGCCCGGTGTGCCTTCCACTCGACCAGATAGCCACTTTTCTTTTTTTTAAGTACATAATGTTTATACATGTTATAAAGAATCAGGTAAGCAAAACGTTTTATCTGTTCTAAAATTATGACTTGTATAGCGTTAAAAGGTTCAAGTTAAAAAAACTAACACTTTTTCCATTACTTTGTTGAACGGACTATGATTGAAGTCATAGCCAACATCAACAATACACAATTCAATCCATGCAATCTATAGGTCAGATGATGTTAAATTAAGGTCATCTGTTTCTTTGGTTAACGAGCAGGGTGTCAAGTGGCCAGCACAACGACCAACCGCTTTTACTTTCACCAACTAAAGTCAGGTAGTTATTAGGGCTGGGTGGATTGAGGGGCGTCCTAAAATTCGAAATCCCAGTCTTCACCTTGGAACCGAAGACCCAAGGTTCGGAAGACAAGCGCTTCACCACTCAGCCACCGCGCCCCAGAGTACATAGTAATACACACAAAATGTCGTTTTAGGTGGTGGTATTCTCTTAACTTCCAGGCCATGACCAGGGAGCGCATCAGTCTGACTGGTGTCATGGTCTTACATTCTTACATGCTTGCGAGTCTTGGACGCTGACTGCAGAGCTAGAGAGGAGGATCCTAGCAATTAATTCATTGGTTAATATGCATGACTGAATGCATGACGCGTAGGACGTAATCATCTTCTTTTTTGAAGTAACGTCTGTATTATATAAGATAAGAAAATGAATCCGAGATGCTACAGAAGGATCCTAGATATCACATTTTAAGACCGCATCTCAAACCAAGCGATTAGAGACCCCACGATGACCTGCTAACTATTGTAAAATAAAAACGCAAGCTAAAAACTGTGGCCATATTACAAGGTCTTCGGGGCTCACAAAGACCTTCCTTCAGGGAACAGTAGGCCTACTAGGAAAAAGAAGAAGAGGCAGAGAAAGCAGAAGAATAAAAAGTAAAGTAGCTAATAATACAGAAAACACTAAACCATAGCTTACAAATAGAAAAACAAAAGAGGCTCCATCCAAGGCAAAAGACAGAGAAGAATGGAGAAAGATGGTTGACAAATCTTGTGTGGTGCCCCATCGGTCCAACAAACTAAGAAATGGGTGAAGGTGAAGGTGATTCTCCAAATTTATAATCATTGAACGTTTAGAGGGTAATAAAAAACTTTCCATGTTATCATATAGACACGTAATTCAATATCCACAGACCACTACGTAAAGATTTCCATGGAGGTTTCACAACGCGCTGAAGATCAGATCTAGTTTATATAAAGTACAATGACGTCATCAAAGAAAGCAGACATAGAAACACTTCCGGCAGAAGGCAAAGTCCGTGGCAAGGGTTCTCCACATTTTCATAGAAGCCATCTGAAGATATCGTAAAGTTGCACACCTTCTGGGGCTCCGGCTGCGGCCCGTTGCAGAAGTCCTCATCACAGAAACTGTAGCAGACGAGAAGGTTGGTGTCCTTCACGTAGGCACAGGTGGAATCATTGTTCGCGCTGATGTTGTGAAATCGTGGACTGTCAAGGCCGATATCGAAAGTATGCCCGTCATGGCAGCCTCGATGAAACAATTGCTTTTTACCTATAAAAACAAGCAGAAGAGAAACAAAGAAAAAAAAATAACATAAAAAAACAAAAACAAAGCGTACTTTTGGATCCGTCAAATAATTAAATTTGTAGTAGATCTAGAATAACAATAGAATACCATTTATAAAAATAAATAAAACAGGGAAACACAAACTCAAAAAAATCGATCGGCCCCCGAAGTGGCAGGTTTCAATATTTTCAGAAAGAATATCAAAATGAAATTCTATCAATGACAGAGAAGAATGGAGAAAGAAGGTTGACAAAGCTTGTGTGGTGCCCCAACGCTCCAGCAGATCAAAGGATAGGTGAAAGTGAATGTGAAGTTGGATGTGAACCTGGCCTTACTGGTGTCTTATTATCTAATTGATCTAATGTTTTGTATAAATCGTCAAGAGTAAAAGACATTTCCGTAAAAAAAAAAAAAAAAAATTCCTTTAATTAAAACTGTACCGTACGGTTTATTTTTGAGTCGGCATATACACCTTCACACGATAAAGTGAAAAACTACTGATTAACTGTTGTTTTAAATTATGTTTCACTTATATGCATACTAAATAGATTTTGGTCTCTTTAAAAAAAAGTAAACATTTTTTTTTTATAAATGTAGAAGTTAGTATGACATAACTTACTTAACTTAGAAATACAATTGCAATAAATTTTTTTTTTGTCAAAAAGTCTAAAACAGTTTGCATATGTTAAAAATATAGTAAATAGTAATCTCCCTTACTAAAAAGCCTTATCCGTTTAAGACAGTGATGCCCAAAATACGGCCCACGGGCTAGATCCGGCCCGTGACAAGTTTTTATCCGGCCAGCCGAAACGTCGACACAAAGTGGAGAAAATCCCCTCCAAAAAACAAAAGGTTGAAAAATGTATCTTTACCTACTTAGGACTTTCATATTTTCTCTGATGTATTGATACCATGACCTTTAACGTTTGTGCGTTTATGAACAGAGACTCTGAATGTTGAATCTACCAGGACCAGTGGGCGGATCTTTACTAGTTTGAGGAACATGATAATAAGCCTACACCTTTGTTTTATAAAGAAAGTGTGGCTGTTTAAAAAAAAAACATATATATCCGCATTTTAAACTATTATGGCGTTCAACCACGAATAAAATATTGTTTCACTACAACTAGAGATTTGAGGATCGATGTGAATATTAATCAAAAAGAGACCTACACTGTTGCTAACATTTTAAGTAGACAAATGAAGTTATTTTCTGACGCGTAAAAAAATAAAATCGTCAAATATCACATGAAATGATGAATGTAGCCCTATACTGCTAACGTTTTGGTTAAATTGTTTCAGAACAATATCATTTAGTTTTTGTAACTTTTCGGTCATGTGGCCCGCGAGACGAGTGTTGGAAATTTAAATGGCCCACAGGTCATCACTGCTTTAAGATATAAGCCAAAATAATTAGTTATCAATATTTAATTAATTTTTTTTTATGTCAGGTAAAAGAAATAATTGTGCGAAATTTCAGCTTTATCCGAGATTGGGTGTCGGAGAAATAATGTATGCAAACTTTTGGCTAAACAGATAGACACCTACAAAGAAAAACAAACTAAGTGAGTTGATCTAAGCTTTGTAAAAATATTTTTAAAAAAGTTTGTATAAGGGGAAGCACCGCAAATCCCTGCCATATTTGTGCAATACTACATTTTCTTAGAATAAACAAAAGTAGTTAATTACCACTAATTGATTAACTAATTGATAAATTTTTTGATTGATTCGTGTATAGTCTTCCACTTTGAATATTATGCAAAGTTTTAACTTTATCCGCGGCATGGGGAGATGGAGTTAAGAAAGCAACAACAACGCATACAAGGATCTACCGAGACAGACAGACAAACAGGCATAGTTGATATTAACTTTGTTAAAAAAAAACAACATATAATGATTTTAAGATGAAGTTTGGTAAATAATCTCTGTGGTCACGTTGACATTTATTAAAATTAAAAAAATACATGCATGTCCAGGAAGAAATATTGAACATCGCTTTCGATTATGGGATATAAAATTAGCTAAGGGAGAAAATAAAGAAATAGAACAAATAAATATTGATTAAAGTAACGTTTCATCTGTATGTTTGTCATTGGTGGGGTTTATGTCTATATGTCAAAAACGATAAATTGAATTTCACTGTTACCAACTATGAGCTATAATTTTAACAATAATTTTGTTTTATAAGTTCAATATCGTGTCTTATCTTATATATATCAGACGTTACTTGAAAAAAAAAAAAGATAATCATGTCATACGCATTTCAAGCGTCAATCTAGTCATGTATGTTATCAATGACTCTTATAAGTTGTTGGTTTTCCTGACTGATTCAGGCAACCCATTCCATTCTGTAATGACACTAGGGAAGACGGAGCACTTGTACGAATTTGTTCTAGCGTATGGAATAAGAAATGTGACTTTGTGTCTTTGTGAGTATTTCATTAGGTGTTTTGTTTCTTTTGTTGTTTCTATGGTTTAGTGATAGAGACAGAGAAAGAGAGCTAGACAGAATGAGAGAGAGAGAGAGAGAGAAAGAAAGAGAGAGAGAGAGAGAAAGAGAGAGATGTAACCTACCGTTCGTCTCAGTAGTTTGTATCATGCAGAGGGTCCAGTCAGTTTTGCTTGCCGTGCAGTCCTTAGCGTAATGATACCAGGTTGGGAGTCCCAGGGAAGCATTGAGCAATCCTGCTACGTCAAGTGCGCAGTGGCCTGTATCCGTGGTTTCAGCGCACTGGAAGCACTTAAGGCTTTCTGGGAAAGGAAAGATGAATCTATTACATTATGTTAAATAAATCGAGGCGTTAAGGGCATTGTCTACTACACATTAAGAGCGGATCTACAATTTTAATTGATGTCGGGTGCGATTATAAAAATACATAACCGGTTATAATCTTCTTGTCTTGATTTTGGTGAAGTTTTGGTATTCTGGAGATATTTCTTGCAGTTTTGGCTATTGTTAAGATAACTGGAATCTTGTTCAAAATTACCAGTTCATTGAGGAGGTGGAATGTCGCAGTTACGCCGATTTCTTCAGTAGGCGATGACGTCATTTTCACTCTTTATATTTGTGTAGTTTTTTTTTTCCCTTGACGCTTCGTCAGGATTTTGGTGTGACGTCATTTTTGTTATTTCTTGAACATTTGGTGCAAGAAGGCAATCTTGTACTTGAGAGTCAAGCTGCACTTTTGTGGTCCTGAATTTGCTTTACGTAGCTGGACAGCCTTAGTGATTGCTTTGTGTCTATTCTTAGTAGGACTATTTTGACCCCTGTTTAGGGTGAGTTTTATTTCATATTGTAAAGATTATATTAATATGGATTCGTTCGAATTTGCATTTGTGGTCTTAGATTATAAGCTAGAAGAATCTCTTTTATTTGTTTTATAGAGTTTCAATATTGGAGTTTCATATTGATACTATGGTATCTGAAGTTCCCCTGAGCATTGTTGTTGTCAATTTTATACTTAATATTGTCGAAAGATTCTCGCATGCTACTA